CACACACACACACACACACACACACACACACACACACACACACACACACACACACACGTTACCTCGCCTGACCCTAAAACTAACCTCAACTCAATTCACACCTTGGTCCTAAAGCAAAACCCCAACCCACCAATGGCATTTAAACCAAATGGGGACTCAACTTTTGTCCCCAAATGTAGGATTTTTGTCTTAAAATTGCCCCCAAATGTCACCAAAGCTGAACCCACCAACCCCCACACACATCCTTGTATTTGCATCAAACTGAGGACATTGTATTGACTTCCATTCATTTTTGTAACTGTATTTTTGCCTAACCCAGACATTTTCCCTAAAATTAAGCATTACTGGTCTGTAGTTAACACTAACCACACCTAAACTTAATTCATACCTCTAAACCTAACTAGTAAAGCACAGCAGAGCTTATAACAAAGTGAGGACAGTGAAGAGGTCCTCACTTTACATCAAAGACCTCACTTTGATGGTGACTTTGGTGCAAATGGTCCTCACTTTGTAGTAAAAACAAGCACACACACGCAGAGCCTCACATTCATCTGCACCTGCTTGGTATGCCAACTCACAATGTCCTACCCACTCTGTTATTTTTGATTAGCATATAATGCTTCAATTACTTCACTTTCACTAAATAAAAGCTACCACAAGTTTTTGTTTCCATGACAACGGTGAAGAGCAGCGGCGGCGGGAGTAAAATTAGTTTGGCTGTGGAAGTTGAATTGTGATGACAGGAGCCAAATGTGGGCTAACTGCTGCTGTCCGTCACAGCTGATCCCCACGTAAGAGATGAGGACTGAACGGATTTGTGTAAACAGAAGACAACCGATTGATTAAAGTGGAAAGTTAAAAAAAGAAAAAAAAAACTTCTTCTTCAGCCTAAAGTGTAAACAGACACACAATCACAAAGTCAACTTGGGTATCATCTTGACATTTACACAATTTAAAATGTCAGGGAGTTTATTACAGTACATCACCCCACTTCAACAGTTTGCAGGCTGTTTATTCCCCACAGCTTTGTTCACTCTGGGGCATGCTGGATATAATTACTTCACTGAAGTGCTTCCTATATATATATATATATATATTTCAAAATGTCAGAGACCTACAGTTTCTAATGATAGTTCAGTTATTAAAAGTAAAAAAAAAAAAGAATCAAAGTTTGAAACACACAAACTCTCAGGCTGTAGATCAGATAAACTTTACACTTCATGAAAATTATTTTAAGTGGTCATTACGCTTTTATCCATACAGCTCATTTTACAGTAAATGTTATAGCAGGGATTCAGCCTGACAGACAGAAGAACAGCTGTCTGTGTGGAATAATAAAAGATGTGGAAGAAGGTGAGCATTTGACAGCTTAATAAAGACAAACAGAACTTAAAGTCAAAGCCAAAACTAGAGACCAAAATTAGCAAAAGGTTCATTAATCATCGAGCTGCCTCTGGAAACTAATTAGTGAAAAAGAAAAGAAAAAAATCCCACAGTGCCTTCAGAGATCTAACGAAAAGTTAAATAGTTGTGATGATTTGGATTTGTTTTCCCAACCTGCTGCTGAAACGTTTAATCTTCAAAAGTTCACAGTTAARAAACGCAGCTGACTTACAAACAAATGTTTGACATTTACATTTGAAATTATTAAAGAAGATGAATAAACCATGAAGAATAAAAAACACAGACAAACMTTACCTAAAATTTGGCATGAGTCAGTTTTCTATTTATCCAAAACAAGGATTGGCCAATGCTGGGCTCTGGGCCATGTGTGGTCTGTGGGTGACTTCTGTCTGGCTCACTTTTGGAGTGCCTTTTTAAGTAAACAAACAAACAAACAAACAAACAAACAAACAAACAAACAAACAAACAAACAAACAAACAAACAAACAAACAAACAAAC